ATCTAAGTGGAACTGGAAATGAACAAACAGGTCAATTTCCTTTGCAATTGCAAAAGAAAATCCAAATAGTGAAATTATTTCCAAGTTTTGCTGAACAATTGGCAAGGAAGACTTTCATAGTTACCACCTCACTTTGTACTTATTTCTTAAGGTGTATCAATCTTACTTCCATACTTGCCATTTTAATGAAACTTCTTTTACCGAAGTTCTGTGATTTTCCCTGGGGATCATCCATTCATGGCCTTTTCTTCATTCCATTACTTTCTATGTCATTTTATTCTTTTTTTTCTGATTTCAAATATCAAAGACACACTGATTCCCAAATCTGTATTGGTGGGATCAGTCTTGAGTTCAAAATTTAAATTATCAACTATCTTCGACATCAACTATATCTCAGATTTAACATCTATCCTATCTAATAAAAGACAAATAGGGTAATTAACCATACCTCTGATATGCTTCCCATTGGCTAATCAGGGCGATATGCAAATTAACTTCCAACCAAGATGGCGGCCGGCAGCCACACAGTTGAAGCGAACATGAGGCTTGGTTGCCCTGGCAATGGAGGAAGCCAACATTCCCCGCCTGCCAAGGCCCTGCTCTGAGCCTGAAAGAAACAGCTCCAAAAGCAACTATGTTTCACTTATAGAAGCTAAACAAACCCCAGATACCTGCTTTCAGCAGCCAAGGCCTCAAGCTGGAGCCAGGCCTCAGAGCTGGAGCCAGCTCTCAGCTCCAGTGACAGCCATAGAAGGTAAATAAATCCCAGAATAAAAAAAAAAGAAAAAAAGGAGAGGTTGGGAGCTTTAGTCACCTGCCAGCCTGAAAGTGTATGTATGTATGTGTATGTATGTGTATGTATGTATGTGTATGTATGTATGTGTATGTATGTATGTGTATGTATGTATGTGTATGTATGTATGTGTATGTATGTATGTGTATGTATGTATATATATATATGCCTAAGCGACCGCCACAACCAAAACAACTGAATGGACGCCCGAATGGGCTGTGTGGGGTGACCAGGCTGGCAGGGTGGTTAGTGAGGGATGACCAAATGACTGAGCAGCAGGCTGCGTGGGGCAGCCAGGCCGGCAGGGGCAACCAAACAACAGAACAGCAGGCTGCGTGGGGCAACTAGGCCGGCACAGGGTGCAATTGGCGGCAACCAGGCCATCGGGGGAGTGGGGCAGTGAGGGGTGAACACACCGGCAGAGGGGGGCAGTGAGGGTGACCAGGTTGGCAGGGCTGCGGCTTAGACATGTTCCCTGCAGTCCTAAGCCATGCCCACAGCCAATAAGGAGGACTCCTGGACTGTGAGAGGGGGCAGGCCGGGCTGAGGGACCACCCCCCTCCAGTGGCACAAATTTCATGCACCGGGCCTCTAGTGTTGATGTTTTGTGTTGTCCTTTCTCCTTTCCACCCTAAACCTAATTCTTCTATATCCCTAAAATGTTCATGGCATTTGTTGTGGTTTAAATATATGCTCACAAATTCTTTTTATATTCCTTCCTTCAAGAGGTGAAACTAAATTATTTCTAATATGGAGAATGTGGCAGAAGACAGTGCTTTATTTCCAAGACTCAGGTATAAGATGTTGTGGCTTCCTCCTTGCTCACTCTGGGGTAGCCAGCTGCCATGCCAAGACATTCAAGCTGACCTATGGAGAGATGCACACAGTGAGGAGAGGATTCCTGGCAATAAACAGTGAGAGACTGACATCCCACCACCACCAACAGTGAGCCTTCTTGGAAGCAGATGCTCCAGCTCCAGACAACCCTTCAAGTGACTGCAGCCTAAGCCAAGGACTTGACTGTAACTTTATTAGAGGCTGTGAGCCACAGGCACCCAGCTGAGCGGCATCCAGGCTCCTGACACACACAAACTCTGAGATAACAAGTTTGTTATTTTAACTAGCCACATTTTGGGGTAATTTATTATGTAGCAATACATAGCAAATATAATATTCAAACCTGAAACCCAAGGAATAGAAATGGTGAAAGAAAATGAACATTTTTATTGAATTTCTTCCTATTCTCTTACTTTCTCAATGCATAAAACCATCACTTACCCAGCACTCCAAATGAGAAACATGAGGCCAAACTTGACTCTCCCTACCAACCATATCACTGATTATCATTTTTCTACTATCACTTAAGTCCATCCCTATACTTACAGCTTTAACTCAGAGCCTTTACCATTTTTTAATTACAGCACAGATTTCCAATTTTTCTTTCTTCCTACAGTCTTTCCCAGCTCCATTCCATTCCATTTCTTAGACCAGTGGTTCTCAACCTTCCTAATGCCGCGACCCTTTAATACAGTTCCTCACGTTGTGGTGACCCCCAACCATAACATTATTTTTGTTGATACTTCATAACTGTAATTTTGCTACTGTTATGAATCGTCATCTAAATATCTGATATGCAGGATGTATTTTCATTGTTACAAATTGAACATAATTAAAGCATAGTGATTAATCACAAAACAATATGTAATTATATATGTGTTTTCCCATGGTCTTAGGCAATCCCTGTGAAAGGGTCGTTTGACCTCCAAAGGGTTTGCGACCCACAGGTTGAGAACCGCTGCCTTAGACTAATGGCAACAAAAGGTTTCCCAAGCACATATCTCATCATGTTATTTGTTAAGTTTTATTAATTTTAGAGAAAGAGGAAGGGAGAAGAGAGAAACATTGATATGAGAGTGCAACTTCGATTAACAGCCTACTGCAAGCCCCCTACTAGGGATGGAGCCCACAACCCGGGCAGGGCATGTGCCCTGACTGGGGATTAAACCAGCAGCCTTTTGGTGCAGAGGACAATGACCAACCAATTGAGCCACACTGGTCAGGGAATGTTATTTACTTTTATTAAAATTCACTACTTGCTCTCACATTGCACAGGACAAATTTCAAATGTCACAGGATGGCAGGTTTGTCCCTGTCCTGTATCTTTTTTTCTCATCTCCTATGTCCACAGCCTACAATCTGTTTATCTTTCACCTTTGCATATTCGGCTTTCTTTCATACTTCCCTTATAACTCCTACTCTTGATTTTGAGAGAGAGAAAGGAGAAAACACTGATTTGTTGTTCCACTTATTCATGCATTCATTGATTGATTCTTGTATGTATCCTGACTGGGGACTGAACCCACAACCTTGGCATACTGGGACGATGCTCTAACCAACTGAGCTACCCAGCTAGGACCTAACTCTCACTTATTTTTAAAAGACTCAGCTCAAGTTTTTATCTCAGAAAATCTGCCTTAATTACCAGGTCTAGGTTAGATGACTTTCTCATATAACTTTACCAGAGCACTTACTTACATAGATCGGTATCATGTCCTTCATTGGAATGTGAGCTTCTGGGGAAAAGAATCTATCCCTGACATCTACACATTCATTTATTCATACAGCCAACCTATATTTACTAAATAACTACAAGACAGGCACTTATGTTAGGTGTGGTTATATAATGGTGAACAAAACAAATATGCCCCTGGCGGAGCATGGAGTCTATTATTGAAGAAAAAAGACAGTAAGTCAAATAAACAAATATTGTGATATATGTATACATACACGCTATGAAAGAGTAGGACCTACTTTAGATAAAATTTTACTGAATTAAATATTTTCCAAGAGGTATGTATAAATTATACCTTCACCGAGGACATATAGATGGGCTAGGTTCATCACATCCTTGCTAACACTGAGTGTTTTGTTCTTAGAGAAAAAAAAAGTCTTTGCTTATACTGTCAATGTCATTTTGTTACTTACACATTCTCAGCACTAAGACTCATGAACAAGAACACAAGACATGATCAAATATATGTTTTATAAAAGGCTTACTTAAGCACAAGTGGAAAACTAAGACTAGCTTTACATACATTATCACAGTTACTTAAATGTATGGCTAAGATAATTTCAAAATAATCACTTGCAAGATCAATCATTTTACTAAGTAAAAAGTAGTATTAAAAAAAGAAAATGAAAAGCCAAGACTTTCTGGTATTTAGAAGTCTGAAGAAATCATTTCTGGTTATTTAAAAGAGCAAATTCCAAGGGAATCCCTGACTTTCCCTAGGTTAAGTGCCAAATGATTCACAACTAAAGTATTTCTGGGACATGGGAGTCTGTGACAAAGCTAAAAACAAAACAAAAAACCAAATCCATTAAAAAAGAGGCTCAATGTTTTAAAAAGGAAGTGGGAGGATGAGGAAATCATATGTTAAAATACATAAAACAACTTTACTAATAATTACTCATTAAATAAAAATACTTTATAACTGACCAAAAGTCTAAACAAAACAAAACATGGTAATCAAAGATGAAAATGCTGAATTCTTTTTTTTTCCTTTTTTTATTATTATTAAGGTATTACAACTGTGTCCTCAGCCCCCCCTGAAAATGCTGAATTCTTATCACAGTTGGGAAGATTTCTAGGAATCTAGAAATTTCTAGGTTTCTTATATTGTAAATTTCTAATACTAATATAAAACACATAAAAATTACAAAAACAAAGCTCATATTCCCGTAGATCACAAAACCTGCTTTACAAATGTTGCATGTATCTCTGAAAACTTTAGTGGACATTAAAGCACAAGAATATAAAAATTAAATAAGTCCACCCCTTCTTAAGACCAAATTAGCTACATTAAGATCAGCTGATCATGTACTTTCCCAAATTCACTGATATGGTTATAGAAAATTTAAATTAATCAGTATAGATAAGGGAAAAATAGCTTATGTTTTACCACACATTAGCCTTATCAGTTGAAATAATGAGATGTTTCTGGAAAACATGCTCATCTCTGTTTTCAGTGTATTTCAACACTCAGCTGGGATTTGTGCCAAGAGAGAGAGGTATTGGTCATCAAACCTGTAACACAATAAAAGCTGTTTAACAAACTGATGGTTGCCCAACAAAAATTGTTACCTTTTCTAAGGCAGGAAGCTTATTATTTTAAAATTTGGCTTCTGCAATGGAATTTTGCTAAGCTTTTAAAGGTATTAACTTTATTAACCTGCAACAATCATCATTTAAAAATCATATATAAAAACTGTCACAATTGGTCAGAAACAAGGTTTCATGTTGCTCAAATTATCTCTGACAGTGGCAAGGCTTAACCTTTTGAGCCATTCTCAGCAGGCTGGTGATATAGCTCAATTAATATAACACACAATAAGTGTTGCTCTTGAAAAAAAAGCAAATTATTTTCCTATTTATAATTTTTGAAAAAGGTTTATTACAAAAATAATTTTCTTTGCTATATATTTACCTGCCATGATAATGTTAAAACATATCTAGGTTCTCCTCAAACATCAAGAGTTAAGAGTATAGCATTCCATTTTAGTTAAAACATTCCCACACAGCCAACACATTTTTTCAAGGCACTCTAAGAACTCTCAAGGACACTACAGGAAAAATGTTCATCTTGTCTACTGATCTTTTAGGCATGTGTCCCCTCAAACTTTTCTGAATTGAACGGCTATAACTGTTTCTTCTTCATTTTCCACGATAGAGTCCTTATGTTATTTTTCTTTTATTTGAAGCCACTCCTTCATTTTCAACTTGCTGAGCAGGCAGGCTTTTGGTTTCCGTGGAAACTGGATTCCTGCGGCTGTGTGTAGGCATTCTTGTTCCACTAATCTAAGAGATGAAGCAAAGAACAGAAAATGGTTTAACATGTTTACAACATATTTATATACAGTCATTATTACCACATGTATTACTTTCTTTGTGAGTGGTCCTTTATATATTTTTTAATCCCTAACCACCTGGCTGCTTCTGAATAAGCTTTAATCTCACAAAGTTTTAAAGGGCTAAATTTTCAAGATCAGGGTAGATGCAGAGAAGTGGAGGGGAAACCACTTTCTATGTTAAATTTGGAAGAGGTTGAAATGTTAAATTAGAAAATGAGGGAATTACAGGCCTTTTTAGCAACATGTCTGCCATAACAAAGCTGAAGGGCAGGCGAGAGAAATGAAAACTATGAAGGGAGGGAAAGGAAATACAAGAAGGTTAGAGCTAGTAAAGGGGGAGAAATTCCAAAATGGAAGGAGACCACAGAGGACGGAAAAAGAGAAAGAAGGGAAGTGGGGGAAGAAACTTTTTTGGGGTGCTAGTTCTGCCTTAATGTCTACTCTTGGGTGCAAGTTGCTGCTCATCCTCACTTTCTAGCTATAATTCATTGTCTAGGGAAGAGAGAGATATATTCTTAAGACACAATCCCTTGCTAATTATAGTCATTCTGAATATGAGATCTAGAAATGCTGCCATCTCCTTGGCCACTGAGAGAGCATAAAGTTTTAAAATAGGTTAATGGAGAGCCATGCCTCACAGAGGACCAAAGCTGCATAACCTGAGACCTTTCCCCCAGAACCTGTCCATATCTTCCTCTATTTTTCTTTCTAAAAATATATTTTTATTGATTTTCAGAGAGAGAGGAACATCAATGAGAGAGAAATATCATTGACTGGCTTCCTTCTGCAGGCCATGTGTCCTGCAGGACATGTGCCCCGACCAGGAATCAAACCGGGGACCTCTGGGTTCCTAGGATGATGCTCAACCACTGAGCCACACTGGCCGGGCTCTGCCTCTATTTTCCCTAGCCACCTTCTACCCTTCACATCTTGTCCAGTGAAGTGTAAACCTTGGAGTAATGGGTGATACTGGAACTCCCAACACTCTCTTATTCCTAATCCAACAGACATATTACTAGCATTGTTCCAAAGGGTTACTCGCTCACTAAGAATGAAGCAGACCCCAGCTCCTCTCACCTAATATCTTGTCCCTTTAGGGGCATTTTTAGGTTTACAATTAGATGACTAGAAAGGACAAACTTGAGTTGGGATCTGAGTCTGCTAGTGTGTCTGAATCTGATGAACTTCTGTAACATACTGATTAGAAAAGTGCTATGGCTTTTAGATTATCTAGACGACTCCCCACTGCAGCTAGTATCCTATATAATAAAAGCCCAGCGACCAAAATGGCAGGACTAGAGACCAGAATGACCGAGGGTCCTCGCCCCGGCTGCCCTGCTCCCCAGTGGGGACCCCTACCCCGATCGGGGGCGTGGTAGGCTGGCAAACCACCTACAGCCCCTTGCCCCAGCCAGCCTCACCCCCCAGGGGGACCCCAGCCCAATCCGGGGCCCCCATCAGGGCAGGCTGGCTGGCCCCCACCTGTGCACAGGGCCTCTACTCTATATAATAAAAGGATAATATACAAATTGACCCTAATAGCAGAATGACCAGAACGATCACTCAACTAGTCACTATGAGGCGCACTGACCATCTTTTGGTCCCTTTCCCTGACCAGCAGGCTCCAATCGCCTGATGATGAATGGGGAACCTGGGGTGGGTGGTGGCAGGGGACATGGGGGTTGTGGGGAGGAGTTGGGGGTGGTGGTGGTGGTGGTGGAGGCTGGCTGCAGTCAGCTGGAGAAGATGGCCCTGATCACAGGCCAGGCCTAAGGATTGTACCCGCAAACGAATTTCATGTGCCGGGCCTCTAGTTTACTATAAAAGTATACTGACCACACTATTATCTACTATATCACTGAGGAAAGCAAGCATTCTGAAATTTCCATTGTAAGACTGTGTGTGTGTGTGTGTGTGTTAATGAATGTTTATTACAGAGATTGCTGAAGGAGAAAAGAGATAGGCACAGACCCCTTGCAAAAGGACTGGAAGCAGAAGTCAGAAGTAGCACAAAAAGCAAACAGGATCCTCCTATTAAGCTTTGCTCTATGCAGAGGGAGGCTCTACTGGGGTACTCTTAGGGTTTTAGTGCCTAAGGCACTACATGAAGATGAGATGTCAATTCAAGTAGACTAGAGACTAGGGGATCACATTAGAGGCAGAAACATTTTTTATATGAGTTTTTACACCGTGAAATAGATGATTTCTGTTTCATATAGTGTCTTATTTCCCCAAGTTCCCTGAAGCTTTGGTCTTTTCCTATTGCTATTAAGGCTAGTATCCCTATCTGTGCCTACCTTGGTTAGATTAGAACGTCCAATTTCTATGGCCTAACTAGCAGGAAGTAGGGAGGAAAGTGGGGTAATTCCCACTCAATGTAGGGCTAGATTAGGGAGGTGTGTCAGAGGTCATCAAAAACTTTCCATGGGCTTAGAGAAAAAAATCAAACCAAGCATTACCTAATTTTGAGTGTACCTAATGCTAAGCTATACAACTGGGCCTTGGATAACCTCATTAAGTATTTGTCCTTCGGCTGAATGCATGAAGCAGCTTTTTTTTTAAAAAAAAAAATTTATTGATTTCAGAGAAGAAGGTAGAGAGAGATAAAACCATCAATGATGAGAGAGAATCATTGATTGGCTGACTCCCGCATGCCCCACACTAGGGATCGAGCCCACAACCCAGGCATATGCCCTGACTGGTTATCGAACCGACTTCCTGGTTCATAGGTTGACACTCAACCACTGAACCATGCCAGCCAGGCTGCATGAACCATCCTAAAAAAATACAAATGAACAAAGTGTTCAGTAGTATATATATAGTTGAATTGTTTAACTTGGCATTTATGTGGCCAAATCCTGGACATACTGAATTGTGTCAAGATATTAAAAGGAATAAGCCACTCCACAGAGAATTATTGAGAAACTAACATCAGACTTTCTAAATCAAAAGGAAATCATTATTCTAGAAATAATATAAATCCTTCAAAAATAGTTTGCAATTATTATTGTTTAGTTAAGAAAATTGTGCTTTAGGAGGTTATAAAAATCACTACTTATATTACATGTAAACTAGAAATAGCCAACCAAAATTTTAGATGAAATGACTTAAAATGCTAACAATTAACTTTCTCTAATCTTTCACTAGTAGCAACTAATTAACATTTATAGATCTTCTTGAACAAAGTTAGCTAAGAATGTGTAAGGAGTCCTCATTTCTAAAAAGATCTTCTCAAACAGTAACATTAAGAAACTGAAAAACATATAAACACCCCATTCACTAACTTATGGAAAAAAATTTCAGCTATTTTTCAAAGGACTTGAGTATATTTACTCACAAAGAAAGAAAATACAAGAATGGAAAAACATCCACAGGATAGACAAGTGATATATGTTCTGGGACACACATGTTAAAGAGAGTACAGAACTCAATGATTTTTTTTTTAATGATTTTGACTCAAAGATTTTTGGCAACACGGAAGGAAAATACACTGGGTTTTTGTTTACTGAACATTCATATTCATATTTGTAGGGGACAAAACTTTTACTAAAACTAAACTCAAATTGAAATTTCTTCCGTGATATAAAGAATGAGTGATGTAGTAAAGAGTATTTCTAGTCATGGCTTTACAGACGTTTCAGATAGAGAAAAATCATTCAACTGGTATTTCTGGGAAGGATTCTATAAAGAGAGTAACATTAATTATAATTCAATAAATACTGAGTTATACAATACTTAGCAAAACACAAAGTCTTTAACATTTCATTGTACTTTTGGAGGGGGGGTGGTCGGGGGAGGCTTAGAAAACAAACATTTATTTCTCACAGTTCTGGAGGCAGAAAAGTACAAGATCAAGGTGCTGGCAAATTCTGTTCTGGCGAGGACTTGTGTCCTGGTTTGTAGACGGCTGTCTTCTTGTTGCATCCTCATATGGCAGGGAGTGTTTTATTGTACTTTTAATAAGGCACATTGCATTCCCTAATTGCTAACACTTATTTTTATATGTTTTTATATCCTGCTTATCAATTTTTAATTGCATCATAATTTTATTGTATGTATTCTTCTGTAAATTGTCTCAAATATTTAATGAAGTAAAGCAGTATCATAAACAAAAACTACCAAAAACATAACTTTGCTTTTCATAGGAACACAAGGATTTAACTATGTGGATGTCTTACTCATGCCGTCTCCCCATCCCCCACCCGGGCAAGCTAGTAGAATTTCCTTTAGTTGATTTATAAAGCATACAAAAAAAGAGAAAGTTTCCTGACATAACAACTGAACTCAGTAGGGCATACAACTTTATCTATCCTTCTTATGGATGAAATTTTTACAATGGTATTATGATTAATATGGCAAATGTGGATATCAGGGTGAAACACTATATACTTGGTGAAATAGATTAATAATAAACAACACAATGAAACATTTATTTTAAAAAAAGATCTTACCTTTTGTTGTGTTGTGGGACCCAGTGACTTAGGTGGAAAAGTACAAGGTATTCTTCCATGATGTATATGATATGGTAACAACAGATTGGGGTCTAATGGAACCCAGGGAACTGAGAGACTGGAAGGTACAGCAGGAAGGCTGCAATGTGTTTTATGCAAATTGTATGCTGTCCTAGTAACTTTTCCATCAGAGGTCTTGTAGATCAGGAGAGAAGAATCTTCTGCTGCATGGGACAACAAGTAGGAACCCTCCTGCAAGCTAAATCCACAGAATAAAACTCAACACAGTGTGTCAATTTTAACAGCATTTTCTTAATCATGGTCTATGAGTAAAATAAAAAACAATATGGGAATAGAATATCACCTCTAAAAATACTTTTATGACCAAATAAGATTTAAGAAGTCTTTTAAACTATTTTCACATCTTTTAGGTAACTAATTTTAATTCTTATTCCAAAGTTCAAGATATGTAATTATTTTCATTTTACTGTCTTATCAGCCACTTTGTAAGTTTTCAATAATTTAATGGGAAACAAATAGTCTGCCTAATTCTCTAATCCATGGACAACACATTTATACAGAAAGACATTTCATGAATGTACATTTTTATAATTCTTATACAGAACATTTTAATTCATTCAACCAACATTGCACCTACATTGTATCTAGTAAAAGGTGAAGAGAGATACAAAAATGAATGTGACACATTCACCACACTTAGCAGTTTAAAAGAAAGTAGCAGAAACAGTCAACAGAACAATCAATACAATATGAGGTACTACGAAAATAAGAGTAACAATAACAGTTGATATATATTGAATGTTTATCATGAGTTAACTCTTGTACTGCTTATTTTATTACTAAATCCTCCACAACAAACCATCAAGGCATAATATTATTAACTCTATCTATCTATCTATCTATCTATCTATCTATCTATCTATCTAATCTAATAATAGACAAACATGGTAATTAACCATACCTCCAACACGCTTCCCATTGGCTAATCAGGGTGATATGCAAATTAACTGCCAACCAAGATGGTGGCCGGCAGCGAGGCAGCTGAAGCGAACAGGAGGCTTGCCAGTGGGGACCCCCCCCCTGATCCACGACACCCTTCAGGGCAAACCAGCCAGCCCCCACCCATGTACCAGGCCTCTACCCTATATAGTAAAAGGGTAATATTCCTCCCAGCACCGGGATCAGCGGAGCCGCGAGGACTCCCGGCCCCGGGATCAGCGGAGCCGCGAGGCCTCCTGGCCCTGGGATCAGTGGAACGGAGAGGCCTCCTGGCCCGGGATCAGCTGAGTGGAGAGGCCTCTCGGCCCGGGATGTTAATTTGCATACGCAGGCTCCAAGCAGTGGAGAGAAGACAAACAGCCCCGAAGTTGCAGAGTGGCGAGGCCTCACCTCAGCGGAGCCGCAAGGCCTCAGGGCCCCGGGATAAGCTGAGCAGAGAGGCCTCCCGGCCCCGGGATCAGTCGAGCAGAGAGGCCTCCTGGCCCCTAGATCAGCGTCATGGGGGCGGCGCTGCAACCCCCAGATAGGCCCTGCTCTGTGGGTGACAGCGGTGGCACCCCAACCCCCTGATCGACCCTGCTCTGTGTGTGACAGGGGAGAGCTCCCCAACCCCCTGATCAGCCCTGCTCTGCGTGTGACAGGGGGCAGCACCCCAACCCCCTGATCGGCCCTGCTCTGTGTATGACAGGGGGCGGCACCCCAACCCCCTGATCAACCCTGATCTGTGGGTGACAGGGGATGGCACCCAACCACCTGATGGGCCCTGCTCTGCATGACAGAGGCAGCGCCCCAACCCCCTGATTGGCTCTGCTCTGTGTGTGTCAGGGGGCGGCGACCCAACTCCCAGATGGGCCCTACTCTGTGCGTGACAAGGGGAAGCCCCCCAAACCCGATTGGCCCTGCTCTGTGTGTGTGTCAGGGGGTGGTGCCACAATCTCTGCATCGGCCCTGCCTTGAGTGTGACAGGGGGCAGTGCCCCAACCTCCCAATCCGCCTGCTCTGTGCATGACAGGGGGCGGCGCCCCAACTCCCCAATTGGCCCTGCTCTGAGCCCAACCAGGGGCTGCGGGGCAGGCACCTAGGGATTGGGCCTGCCGTCTGCCACCCGGAAGTGGGCCTAAGCCAGCAGGTCGTTATCCCACGAGGGGTCCCAGACTGTGAGAGGGCACAAGTGGGGCTGAGGGACACCCCCCTCTGCCAGTGCACAAATTTTTGTGCACGGGGCCTCTAGTCTATACATAAAAGACTTATATGCAAATTGTCCCCCGGGAGTTCAATCACTTGCTATGATGTGCGCTGACCACCATGGGGAGGCATGGAACGAAGGAAGGCCCCGGCTGGCAGCCTGGGAAGGGAGGCCTGGGCTGGCAGCTGTAAGGCCCTGATCAGCCCTGATGGCTGGCCAGGCCTAGGGACCCTACCCATGCACAAATTTCATGTACCGGGCCTCTAGTACTAGGGACCCTACACATGCACGAATTTCTTGCACCGGGTCTCTAGTACTAGAGATAAATGGGAATTAGAGATGGTAAGCAATATGCCCAAAGTTCTGAATATAAGCCTTGGATAAAAATCAGACAGTTGAACTCCACAGGCCATACCCTTAGTCATAATCTCCATTGTCACAGTAATCAGATCTGTCAAACATCAAATGTATATTTTTCCTTAGAAAGCTTTAGGGAATTCAGTGTATCAACATAAAGAGCTAGAAGAATATGATTAATATACTGTGCTTTCTTAGGATTTTACACTCTTGCAGCTCAAAAGTGCTAAGGAGAACATCAGTTTTCCCCCATAATATGTCATTAAAAATAAGAATTAATCATACTTTAGTGTTACAGATCTGCCTACAAACCTGATAAGTTACGTTTTCATTAAATTTTTAAACAGAAAAGTAATAGACCAAGGTGGCACAGAATATTCTTACCCTCTGGAGAATTTCTTTCCCAAACCATCACTTTCATATTTCCATATAAAGAAATGAATAATAGTTGATTTGGTAATAGGAATAAGTAATATTTTAAAGATTAACATTTCATCAATGAAAATCATAGCTTAACTAACTTCACTAACAATAAGGGTGGCTTTGGTTTAAAGAATTTATAAAAATGAGACAGGTGCTCCAAAGAAGAGTATCTTAAAAGTGCCACAAAAGTACAATATACACGATGAATAAAATGGCCTCCCCAAAATGCCCATGTCCTAAACCCTAGAATCTGTGAATATGTTACACTACATGGCAAAGGAGAATCAAGATGGGATTCAGGTTCCTAATCAGCCGATTTTAAAACAGTAAGATTTTCCTGGGAGTTTACCTTAGTGCGCCCATTATAATCATAAGAATCTTTATATGTAGAAAGGGAGGCAGAAGACACTCAGAGGGAGATGCGACTGTGGAAGAGGTCAGAGTGATGTGATGTGAGGAGGACTCAATTTGCCTTTGAAATTTTGAAGATGGAGGAAGAGAGGCATGAGCCAAGGAAGCAGGTGGCCTCTAGAATACACAATCAAGGAAACAGAACACACCAGAGCCTTACAGAAAAAAAGCTGCCCTGCAATGCCTTGATTTTAGCCCAGGGAGACCTGTTAGACTTCTGACTTATAGAACTGCAAGATAATAACTTCGTGTTGTTCTACAACACTAATTTTGTGGTAATTTTTTTTACATTTGCAGGAGACCTAATACACAAACTAAGATAGTGATAATAAAATTTCATAGAAACTCTAAAGACTCAACCAAAACACTACTAGATTTAATAAGTGAATTCAAGAAAGCAGCAGGATACAAAATTAACACCCAGAAATTTATGGCATTTTTGTTTTGTTAATCCTCACCTGAGTATATTTTTTCAATTGATTTTAGATAGAGTGGGAGGGAGGGAGGAAGGGAGAGAGGAGAGAGGAGAGAGGAGGAGAGATATGAGAGAGACAGTTATTGGGTGCCTTCCACATGTGCCCTGAAAACTATAGGACATTGAAAAAAGAAACAGAGAAAGGTACAAACAAGTGGCAGCATATACTGTGTTCATGGATTGAAAGAATAACACCATTAAAATGTCCATACTACCCAAAGCAGTTGACAGACACAATGCAATTCCTATTAAAATACCAATGGCATATTTCAAAGATCTAGAACAAATATTCCAAAAATTTATATGGAATCAAAAAACCTCGAATAGCCTCAGCAATCTTGAGAAAGAAGAACAAAGTTGGAGAGATCATAATACCAGATATCAAACTATACAAACAAAGCCATTGTAATCAAAACAGCCTGACACAAGAACATGCATATAGAACAATGGAATAAAGCAGAGACCCCAGAAATCAACACACAATATTATGGTCAACTAATATTTGACAAAGGAGGCAAGAGCATACAATGGAGTAAAGATAGTCTTTTCAATAAATGGTGTTGAGAAAATTGGACAGGTACATGCAAAAAAAAACCCAACAGAAAACAAAAAAAAAACTAGACCACCAACTTACACTATACATAAGAATAAACTCAAAATAGATAAAAGGCTTAAATGTAAACCATGAAGCCATAAAAATCCTAGAAGAAAACATAGGCAGTAAAACCTCAGACATCTCATGTAGCAGTAGTTTTGCAAATACATCTCCTAGGGCAAGAGAAACAAAGGAAAAAATAAACAAATAAGACAACATCAAACTAAAAGCTCTGTACAACAAAAGAAACCATCCAACAAAATGAAAATGGAACCCACTATATGAGAGAACATATTTGCAAATGACATATCTGATAAGGGGTTATTTTCCAAAATAAATAAAGAACTCATACAACTCAACACCAGGAAGGCTAACAATTCAACTTAAAAATGAGCAAAGTGAATAGACACTTCTTCAAAGAGGACAAACAGATGGCCAAGAGACATATGAAAAAATTCTCAAGGTCACTATTAATTAGAGAGATGAAAATAAAAACTATAATGATCACCAGACACTTGTCAGAATGCTACCATCAATAAATCAACAAATAACAGAGCTGGCGAGGATGTGGGGAAAAAAGAACCCTAGTACACTGCCGGTGGGAATGCAGACACTGTGGAAAACTGTGGAGTTTCCTCAAAAAATTAAAAATGGAACTGCCCTTTGATCCAGTGATCCGACTTCTGGAAATTTATCCTGAGTCCCAATATACCAATCAGAAGGAAAATATGCACCCCTATGTTTAGGGCAGCATTATTTACAATAACTAAGATCCCAAGTGCCCATCAGTAGATGAGTTATCCACTCATCTGTGGTACATTTACACCATGGAATGTAGTTAAACCTTGCTATAAGGAACTAATTCAGGCGAGGGGGTGTCTGTTAAAGCTGAAGTCTGTTATAGAATAAAGTAAGTTTTCCAAATACATATGTTAAAAATTTGACAAATTAGTTTACCGGTTTTTACTTATCCTATCTAGTTAAGAAGGGAATATGCTAATTGACCCTCATGCCATCGCAAAGATTGCAGCACACACAGCCACAAGATGGCGGTGCCCAGTCCCCTCAGTCCTGCTAGGGGATTAGGGAGGACGACCAAACAACTGAACAGCAGGCTGTGTAGGGCAACCAGGCTGGTGGGTGGCCATGCCGGATTGGAGAGGGTGCAGGCTGGGCTGAGGGGACCCCTCCCTCCTGTGCATGAATTTTGTGTACCGGGCCTCTAGTGTAGACATGTTTGTGTAATTAAAATCAAATATGTATGAAAAGTTTAGTTTCACTGAAAAGTTTTCTATATGTATTACTGTAATTTTAAATTTATATTGAATAGGTCTAGTAAATGTGTGCATTCACCAGTCACCTCTAGTGACAAAACAAATGCATACAGCTAGGGCATGGCATAGTGCACATGGGAACATCTGCTGGCAGGCATTCAATTGCTGCAGAAAGTCACGCAATGCCACAACAGAATCAATTACCTCCCGTGCTAATTGATCACATGCTAATCATTTGCCAAACATTGTTCTTGCAGATAGCTATTGATATGTAATATGTATTTACATCGGTGAAATTAATACAGTGTTTTCCCCAATATATGGCCTATATGCAAAAATTTATTAAAATAACAGTGAATTGGTAACAATAACAAAAAAACCTTTTAATTTAATTATAAGCAAATCTTATTAAAAGCATTTTAATATCATTAGGGTGTTAATTTTCACATGACATATGGACTGGAAATTTTGTCTGTTAAATCTGAAGTCCACCAAATCAAGGGTTTATGGTACTATGCAGCTGTAAAAAAGAAGGAACTCTTACCCTGTGTGACAGCATAGACCTGGGGAGTATAATGCTAAGCAAATAAGCCAATCAGAGCAAGACAAATATCACATGGTCTCACTCATATATGGAATCAAATGAACAAAATAAACTGACAAACAAAATGGGTCAAAAGGCATGGATATATGGGATAGACTGACTCAAATTATATCTCAGTAGGGAGGCGGGTGGGAGGGATGAGAGAGATTAACTAAAGAACATATATACATATATGCATAGCCCATGGACACAGACAATAGTGTGGTGAAAGCTTGGGGTGGGGTGGGGGGCTGGGTGGAGAGGAGCAAAAAGGGAGAAAATTGGGGACAACTGTAATACTCTCAACAATAAATAAATTTAAAACAATTTCATGTGTAAGCACTGTGTTTTATATGAATAACAGCATATATAAAATAAAAATCCTGCTACAGAATCACAGAATCTGAGAACTGAAAAGTACCTAGAAAATTACTGAACTCAACACCATCATTTCATAAGTAGGAGAGTTAGAACTTTGAGATTTTTGATCAGACTCTTTCTTGAATTGTTTTTTAGTTTATCTTTTGGTAAGGGCATACGGAAAGACACAAAAGTTCATGTAACAAGTTCACTTATTTAGTTTGAAAAATGATTGGGTGGAGAATCCATATTCTAATATTTTCCATGGAGCTAATGACTTTTGATCACTAGTCTATGTTGCTTCCTTACCCTGAAAATGTGAACAATATATCTATGGTAGGCTGAATAATGGTCACCCAGGATGTCCACATTCTAATCTCCAGAACTGTTAATGTTACGTTTAATGGCTTTGCAAATGTGACAAGGAAAGCAGAAATTTGAGTGATTTGCTAGATGGAGATAGGAGTCAAAGGCAAGGGATACAGGCAGCCACTAGAAGCTGAAAAGTAAGGCAAGGAAATGATTGTCCCCTCAGAGCCTCCAGAAGGAACCAGCCCTGCTGACATGAGTTTTGTCCAATGGAAGATGATTTCAGGTTTCTGACCCGCAGAACTGTAAGAGAACACACTGTGTTGTTCTAAGTTTGTGGTAATTGTATGTTACAGTGGCAATAGGAAACCAATAAAATAAGCCTTATAGAAAAATGTAAATATTATTTTTAGTTATATTTTCACAACTTCAACTTTGACACCAAAAATATAAATCTTCTGTGTTATATTTATTCCTAACAGCACATATTCAAAGTGTGTATTCTTGAATTTTCATCCAAGAAAATCAGACATATCAATGAAACTGTCCAAAAAAATACTTACCTACTTAATTTCTTTAGAATGTGTTGGAGGATATTAAACAAACTTGAAATCCTAGAAAATGGAAGAAATTCCTGTATAATTAAACAACAAAAAAAACCCCTTACTCTTAACAATTATAGATCTTTAGGAAGAGAAATGCCCTCAGAAAACAGCTAAAACACAGAATACCAAAATTTGTTTCTAATTTGATTAAAGTATAATATTTACTTATTTTTTTGTCATTTCCTGTGTTTTCTTCAAAATCACCAAGGAATGGCTTTTGTTAGAGCAGTTGTAAGGAGATCACTACTTTACATTCAAATTATAAACTTTAAAAAATGTTCAGATGTCTTTAGCAGAACCAATCTGCATAAGAGCTTGCCTTTTAGAAATGGTCCTAAATTAGATTCCAAAGAAATTGAGAGATACTTTAAATTTAGAGAAATTGAGTGATGCCAGAGAAGCCACTGACAGGGGACAGGATAAAGACAAATGAAATATAAGGTATTTCTTTATGTCTTTTCTAAACCTAAACTCATTGCCTTTCTTATTTATTTAAAAATGGTTTTCCCTGGGTGATGTGGGACAGGTGCTGAATAATGTACACAAAAACTTTACATATGTAAATGTATGTAAATATGATGTATGAAAAAGCTTTGCATAGGTTACCCCTGGAAAGAAGCAATTCTTATAATTGAAGTGGACATTTATAAGTTCAAGCAGAGAAATAAAGTTTGAAAAACTGTGTCAAGCCTCAAGGCTGGAACTATGCAACTAGTGTAAATCAGGACAATTTCTCATCCTAAGTGGTAAATCAAATATATTATCTACCAAGGCTGTCACTAGCTTAGCTGTGTGCTCCGGGGCAAGTCAGAGTCCCAGTTTCCTCACATATAAAATGGAGATAATGCTACCACCAGTCCTTCCTAGAAATTTGGGAGGTGCAAATTACATAATGCTCATAAGTTATTTCCTTTGCATTTATTATTCTGAGTAACTTCATTTCACTCTGATGTACAGAAATGCTTGGTAGAGGGGTAAACTTTTAGAAATTAGTACGTCTAAATGAGTATATACAATCCTTGAGAGCTAAGAGTCTGTGACTGTCCTTTTCTTTCCCATCCCTGAAAAGGGGTGCAATGTATGGTTCTGTGCACCTCCAAGATGATGGGCTACTCTTTGCTCCAGCCTCCGCTGTCTTACGTAGAAAGACTGGTGCCACTGGTATTATATTTAATTTGGAGATTGAGATTAATATGGATAGATCACAAATTGTGTCAGGAGAAGCCTCAATGTATAAAAGGTTTAAAAGTTTTGAAACTGAAGTATTTAAACTTGACCAGTATTTAGAAATAAAGAAAAGTTTGTGATCATATTAACAAGTTTAACAATCACTACCACAAAGTAAACTTTCTTACTTGAGTGCTGAAATTTTTTCTTTTAATTCTTCTGAGGTAATTTCTTCTAGCAAGAAAAGCTTTGAAGTAAAAGCATCGATATGACCTAAAATAAAATATAAAATTTAAAAACAATTGTAGCATTTAAAAAACTAAAAACCAAGTTATCCAGTCTCTTTAAAGATCTATTATAATAAAAGAATATGCTAATTAGACCAGATGTCCTTCCAGATGTCCTTCTGGACGACCTTCCAGATGAAGCCAGACCTGCAAGCGAAGCCCAGGTCCTGGGTGCCAGAGGGAAGCCAGTGCCAGCAGCCGGGGGAAGGAAGGCCTACTCTTGCATGAATTTTGTGCTTTGGGCCTCTATTGTTTTTATAAAACTGTAATAACTGTAAAGAATCTTTACATTCCAAAAGAGCTGTTTTAAAAATGTGCTGAATGTAGAAAAGGTTACATGTGTCAACACCAAAAACAAAGAGAGAAATAATCTCTAAGTCACAATTTATCCTATCTAATAAAAGAGTAATATGCAAATTAACTGTCACTCTGACACAAAGATGGTGGCACCCACAGCCACAAGATGGCGGCGCCCAGTCCTCTCAACACCACTGGAGTCCTCCAGTCCCGGGGGGTAGCCGCTGAGAGCAGGGCCTGCTTGGCCATCACCCACCGCAACCCGGGAGCAGCCAAGCAGCCCCCACAGACAGCGGAGAACCATGGGAAGCAGGCCTAAGCCATCAGTAGGACATCCCCTGAGGGCTGCCGGATTGGGGAGAGTGCAGGTTAGGCCGAGGGACCTCATCTCCACCCCCCATGCTGAATTTCATGCACCGGGCCTCTAGTATATATATAAAACCCTAATATTCAAATAGACCAAACAGCGGAACAGAACAACCGGTTGCTATGATGCGCGCTAACCACCAGGGGGTGTGCATGGAACATGGCAGGATGGTGGAGCAGGTGAGTGGGGGCGGTTATCAGGGCGAGCATCTAGTGGTTACTGAAAATTCTTTGCTCTTGTGTGCCACGGTCCCCCGCCTGGCGCTTGTGCCTGCTGCTGGCACCAGAGCCGCTGCTCACACCCGCTGCTGGCGCCGGCCCTGATCACCCCTCAGGGCTGCTCCACTTCCCCCTGCTCCTAAGGGGTGATCGGAGCTGGCAGCCGCCTCTCACACCCGCTGCTGCTCCACTTCTCCCTGCTCCTAAGGGGTGATCAGAGCTGGTAGCCGCCTCTCACACCCGCTGCCAGCGATATAAAACCCTAATATTCAAATAGACCAAACAGCGGAACAGAACAACCGGTTGCTATGATGTGCGCTGACCACCAGGGGGTGTGCATGGAACATGGCAGGATGGTGGAGCAGGTGAGTGGGGGCGGTCATCAGGGCGAGCATCTAGTGGTTACTGAAAATTCTTTGCTCTTGTGTGCCGCGGTCCCCCGCCTGGCGCTCGTGCCACCTCTTGCACCAGCTGCCAGCGCCGGCTGCACCCGCTGCTGGCGCTGGTCCCAATTGCTCAGCACCATCAGTGGATGCAAGCAGGGCCGGCACCACCAGCCACACCAGCTGCCGGCAGAGAGGGGACTGGGGGCCATGGTGGGAGGGGACAAGAGGGGGCATGGAGGATGGGCCAAGAAACCCCTGCTCCCCACCGCAGCCTCGCGGCCCACAGTTCCGTTCATGGTGTACAAATTCATGCACTGGGCTCCTAGTGTAAGAATAACAACTTAACCCCTTCCCCGGCAGAAACGTGTATACTCGTTTTCACAAAATGTTCTTTTTCAGTTGTCGACGAGTATACTAAGAAAATATGGTAAAAAAATATGGTTTATAGGAAGACGAGTTACAAACTGTTTTCATAACCAGCATCAAAAATACTATATAGAACCAAAATAAAAAAATTAGTCTGAAAAAGAAATGTTTTTAACAAAAAAATTGTTGGGGAAGGGGTTAAAATATTGGTGCATCTAATTGCTATAAAAGTTGAATTTTTATGGAGATTCAATTTTTAGAGAAATACTGTATTATCAAAGTAAAAGAATAAAATTTGTTTTGGACACTCTCTACACATCCCTAAGACATACTTGGTGCTTAAGATAAAAATTAAGATTATAAAAAGCCATCTTAATTATTCACAATAGCCAATATATGGAAACAACCTAAGTATCCATCAACAGAAGAATGGATAAAGATGTGATATATACACAGGAGGAAGAAGGAAATCCTGCTGTTTATGACAACGAAGATAGATACTGAGGGCATGAAGCTAAATGAAATGAGTTAGACAAAGATAAATACTGCATGGTTATCACTTGTACAGAAAATCTAAAAAAAAAAATAAGTCAAACTTTTAGAAATAGAGAGTAGAAAAGTGAGTGTTTCCCAGGGATGGGGAAACAGGGAACTAGCAAGAGGTTGGTAAAAGGGTACAACATTCAGCTATAAGATAAATAAGGTCTAAGGATCTAATGTATAAATGGTGATTATGGCCGATAACACTATTTTTTAATTAAAATGTGACAAAATAGAACTTAAATGTTCTCATTAAAAATTATAAATATAAATATGTGAGGAGATGTGTTAATTAACTATATGGGAGAAATCCTTTGACAATGTATAGGTATATCAAATCATCAAGATGTACAGTTTAAATATCTTACTATTTTGTAAATTATATTTAAATAACTTACCATTTTTGTCAATTATACCTCAGTAAAGCTGAAAAAAATCTGGCTTATTTTTAAATAAAGCACACATAAGATTTCTTATGGTTAAAAATAAAATCAAAACAGTATATTCAAAGTTTTACTTTCTTCTGAACATGGCATAAATCAATAATTCCAAAAAACAAAATGGCAAATTTTCAAGATTACACTTCTATTTTACAAAGTAATTCATAATTTCTGCAAAACAGGTGGAGATAAAACACTGAAACCCTGAAATGTACCAAGGAAGAGTGGTATAAAAGACCTGAGTTATATGTTAGATAATCACGCCAATATAAAATCCATGTTATGGCCTGGCCAGCGTGGCTCAGTGATTGAGTGTCGACCTATGAACCAGGAGGTCACGGTTCAATTCCTGGTCAGGGCACATGCCCAGGTTGTGGGCTCAATCCCCAGTGGGGAACATGCAGGAAGCAGCCAATTGATGATTCTCTCTCAACATTGATGCTACTCGCTCTCTCATTCCCTCTCCCTTCCTCTCTGAAATCAATAAAAATATATTGAAAAAAATAACAAAACAAACAACAACAATAAAAAAACGCAAAAAGACAACCTACTGAATGGGAGAACATATTTGCCAATGATACAACTGATAAGGGGTTAATATCCATAATTTATAAAAAACTCAGACAACTTAACACCAGAAAAACAAAAAACCCAATTTAAGAAGTGGACAAAAGTAAAAAGAAAATTTTACCCTTTGTGACAGTATAGATGTGTACCTGGAGAACATATGCTAAGTGAAATAAGCCAGTCAGAGAAAGATAACTATCATATAATTTCACTCATATGTGGAATTTAATGCACAAACTGAACTACCAAGAAAAACAGAGACAGACTTATAGTTAGAGAGCAATAGGGGTGAGGGGGGAGGGAAAGGAAGTGCTGCTGGGAGGCGGGTAGAGGAACTGAGCAAAAGAAAAAAAAGAGAACTCATGGACATGGATAACAGTGTGGTGATTGGGGAGGGAGATGAGTAGAGGTGAAAGAGGGCATAAAGGAAATAAATGGTGATGAAATAAAATAAATAAATACATAAATACATAAATAAAGTAAATAAATAAATAAAATGTGGGCAAAAGCCCTGAATAGATATTTCTCCGAGGAAGACGTACAGGTGACCAAAAGACATATGGAAACTTGGTCAACATCACTAATTAACAGAGAAATGTAATTCAAAACCAAAGTTTCACCAGATTCTTAAACTGCTTATTGTTTAATGAAAAGATAGATTTACAAAACAATAAAGTAGAAAGCAACAAGTCATGAGAACAGTAAAAAAAAAAAAAAAGAATGTATTGAGAGATCACAGGAAGAAAATGACTTAACAGAGGGGCAACTAGAGTTGGCTGAGATGTGTGGGATTAGGCATTCCACTGGGAGGGGACAATATCAATAATTCTTCATGTGAAGTATGTTAACTATACATGAACCCAGCCAACACAAATTAAATCCCTGACTGACTACCTGCCCCCAAAAGATGCAAAACAAAAACAAACTTAAAGAAAAACTATTTCATCAGTGTTAGAGATTTTAGCCTTGCTGGGGTAGCTCAGTGGTTGAGCATCGACCTATGAACCTGGAGGTCATAGTTCAATTTCTGGCCAGGGTACATACCCAGGTTGTGGGCTCAATCCCCAGTGTGGGATGTGCAGGAGGGAGCCAATCAATGATTCTCTCTCATCATTGATGTTTCTATCTCTCTCTCCCTCTCCCTTCCTCTCATCAATAAAAATACATTAAAAAAATATTTGAGATTTCAAAAACAATGTCATTATAATTTTAAAAACATATGCTTAAACCAATTAAAAAGTACTTTCAAAGAAGCTCATTAGAAAACACCTTTATATTTTTAGTTTTTTACACTACTGAATAAAGTATTTTAAAAATAAAATGATTCGGTTGAGATTCATGTACAACTAAATAGATATGGGATAAGAGGGAAATTAAGACATTTGAGATCATCAGTCTCACACTGCCATGTAACTCTGGAGTAGGGGATGGTGTTTTAATAGGAATGTTAACACAATCAGAAAACTGAAAACAAAAAGTATAGAATAGACATGTATAATTGAATAAAAAGTATGTACTTACAAGAGAATAAAAAAGGAGAACAAAGACTGTTATAAACTTACCAACATAAAAGGAGCTGTTGGAATGCAATAAACTTTCAGTCCACAGGCGACACAGTTCGCTTTCAGTCAGAGCTTCAGCTCCATAACAAGCTTGATACTCCACTTTTGGAAGAACATATACTGGGACTTGCTGAAATGTAAAGTTACACTCTATCAAAAAGTTCCATTAACTTACTATTAACAGCAAGTACATTTGCCTATACAGTTTTGCCACTTTCAAAATGCTTTCAAGTAATGTTATTTGATCCTTTTAAATACAGTGGGGTTCAGACAGAAAGACAGAACCCTTGTGGGTGAGAGGTGGATGAATAAGAGACCCTAACCCCCCCTCCCCCCGCTTCCCCAGATAACCCCATCCCAGTCAGTATTCCTCCCCACATGTGCCCCTTGATTTAATTTTATTGCTAAAAGCATTTTATTATACAATAATCTTTAGCAACTGGCAATCTGCATTTACTTCCGTCAGAGAATGTGACTGACAGCAGAAACCTTGAAACAAAGCCTGTGATACACAATTGCCCAAAGGTTAAAAACCAGATTCTGGAAGCAATGACTGTGAAATATCCTAGTAATTTTCAAGAGGATTTAAAAAAGGTACTAATTTTTGCCCCTTTAAAGCATTAGTCACATTATCTAAGGCTCAAGTAGTCTGAGCAGCTTGTTTTCATTCTATGAATCTATGAGCATTAATACCTACATTAACATCTGTGAATGTCATTAGCTTCATTAATATAAAAGTTTTATTCTAGATACTAACCACATGGAAAGCTATAGATTTAGAGTTTATTGGTCAGGACACTAAATAGATTAGGTACATGACTGTACCCATTACTGGTCTAAAGGAGGATATGCAAGGAAATACATGCTTGTGAAATATCATATTAGTCATGTCACTGTGCTCATGTTATCTCACTTCTGTCAAAGAAAACTCTATTGTTAATAGCAGCGTCTTCATTTCCAGCTGCAGAAGGAGAGACACATGATTTATGGAACTTACTGAGTGATATTGCTACATAGTACTTCAAAATTATACTAAGCTGTCACTATTTATATACTTGAAAATATTTCATAAATGTTTCAGAATTCCTGATTTTCACAAAGTGGCCAATCTAATGAGCTTTACACCACAGTGGTGGTAAGAACAATTCAAATCCAGTAAAATTTCTGGTAACATCAAGTTTGGAGGTTTGGTTTATATGATTATATGATAACATGAATGTTATAAAACTCTAAAGTAGTGTGTCTTAAATTTCAATGTGTACTAGGAATAAGCTGGTGATCTTATTAAATTGTAGAATCTGAGGTGTAGACTAAGGTTTTGCATTTTTAACAAGCTCTTATTCCAGGGACCAAACATGAGTAACAAGGCCCCTTGATTTAATTTTATTGCTAAAAGCATTTTATTGTATAACTAGAGGCTCAGTGTACGAAATTCGTGCACTGGTAGGGTCCCTAGTGGCTGCCAGATGCCAGCCGGGTACTCTCTCCCTTCCCCAAGCTGCCTGCCGCTCCCTTCCCCTGGCCACCTGCAACTGCACTGGCCAGGGATTCCCTCCCTTCCCCCGGCCGGCCCCGCCCGCCTGGTCGAACTCGCAGAAGAACTCCGGTCAAGGGGTCAATTTGCACACTACGCTTTTATTATATAGGACCAGAGCCTGGGTCCCTCAGCCTGGCCTGTGCTCTCTCACAGTCCAGGAACCTTTAGGGGATGTCTGATTGATGACTTAGGCCTAAGCCACAGTCTGGCCTACCTCTACAGGAGGTAACCAGTGGGCTGATCAGGGGACTGTGCCGGCCAGCAAGTGGCTGGCCCAGTCCCCCGATTGCCACTCTGCCGCCGCTGGTCGCTGCTGCCCCTGATCGCCATCCCTTCCCTCTGCCCACTGGCACCCACCTTGGCTGGCCTGGCGCCGCCCACTTGCCAGCTCAACCCCGCCACCGATGAGTCATTCTGCTGTTCGGTCAATTTGCATATTAGGCTTTTATTATACAGGATAATTCTTCAGCGATTGGCAATCTGCATTTAAAATTACTTATAGTTGCAAATAGTAGCTAGAGATAAAGAAATGAAGATCCAGGTAGCTCAGTTGATTGGAGCACCTACTTATATACCAAAATGTTGTAGGTTTGATTCCCAGTCAGGGCACACACCTAGGTTGTGAGTGTCATCCCTGGTCAGGGCATGCACGGGAAGCAATCAATTGATGTTTCTCTCTCACATCGATGTTTCTCTCTGTATCTCAAATCAACAAACATATCCTCGGGTGAGGATTAAAAAAAAGAAGGCCCAAAGGGCTAAGGCAGTTGCTCAAGGACACACAGCCAGTTTACAGCAGGGTTAGGAAAAGAACAACTGGGTGAAGAAGGCCCCTTTCTGAATCATGACTAGATAACAGAGTTAAGATTTTTTTAAAATAAGAAAATATTACTGTTTCTGAAAAGAAAGTACTTTGACACTTCAGAGGATTTTCTTTGTTAATAACTGCCATATCTGATTCTGGTTTTAAATTCTATATGTATTCTACTGCCATCTCCAGGAAGCCACAGGAAAGAAAGTCTGAATATTTTATCTTAGTATTCCAAAATTAAAGTGAAAGTTTAAGTGCAAAGTTTTCTAACTATAAAAATTAAATCTAGTATTTCCTTTCTCCCTTGATAAGTAGCTCCTATTTTCCCTAAGTGAAAGCTTCTGTTGGTTCTCTGTCTTCCAATTTTTCACATAAACCTTTTAAACTTTCACATACATTCCTAAATAGATACTTCAAAGCTATTTCCTGACACTGATCCCACTGGGTTCATTCTATTCAAGCACCTCCAATATCTTTTTTCTTCACCCTAGAATAACAATATAAATTACAAATTAATTGGATCTAAATTTTTGAATTATTTTAGAATATATCTCTTAGGAAATTTGGTTAACTGAGACAGATAATACCAAATCATTCAAAGTTACTTGGTGTGGATTTCACAACTATGGGTATAACTCAGTAAGTTCTTGCTTCATCTTGTGGTCCAAATTAGCTCTCTTTATTTCATTCCATCATTTAAGACTGGCTCCTGTTTTAAGTTCTCTAATGCGCAGTCCTATTAAGCAGCATTTTGACGGGGAAGGACAAATGATAGTGGAAATTAAAATCTCAACTATTATAACAGAACATTGAAGACCCAAAGGAAAATAAAAGAGACATGAGGTTTTTGGACTTCGGAGGTTGAAGAAACTTCTATAACATATTTTAAAGCTTTACCTAAACAAGTTGATTATTAAATAGGAAATATTAATGAGGAAGATTCTAACCTAGTTATAGTTTAAACAGTACCACTTTAAAATATCTCAAACTAGTGCCTCAACTTCCCTAAATTACTTTTCTTATCAACACCTCCCTACTTCTTCACCCCTCAAGTTTTCTCATTTATTCAGTACCTATTTATTGAGTTTCTATGGTATAAAACATGACTCTAAGGGGAACACATTTTGCTAAGGGATTTAAATGGTATGTACTAAACTATTACATACAATGACTGGTACCATATAACTATTCACTGAAAATTTTAAAATTTTACTCTGGGTTTGACACAATCAGAAATATAAGGCTATTCAGATATTCTTTGGGGCTGGACTATTTTGGATATATTTTTATGAAGGGTGGAGTCTCTCCTGTAAAGTTTTGTTTTCACATTTACAAATTTCACTTAAGTCAAATGAATGACAATGTCTTCAGAAACTAAATATATATCCAAAACATCCCTAGGCTATTCTTACTTAAGAGATACTGGCCATCAATGTTTGAGTGCTGTAAGCTGGCAGATCACTACAAAATGGTACGTATGGGTTCGTAAGGTAGAATGTGAAAGAAAAGAGATTATTTCCCAAATAAATCAAAGACACTAAGTAAGAATGAAAGATATAAAACCTCAAAAATATAATCCATAGCACTGACACTACATATATTTAAGATGTTCATGCTGTGGCCATTAAATTGATCACAGTAAAATACAGATAAAACAGGAAAATTAGCAAATAAAGTAAAAATTTTTTAATACAGAGAATATCAGTGTTCAATGTATAGTCTTTTGCCATTCCTTGATTTTCTCTTATTAAAAAAACATACAAAACTGCCCCATGCATTTAATTAAAAATCATTTGCTTTCTAAAATTTCAAGTCTGATATAGTGATGAAAACCCAATTATGAGAATTAGGAATTTAATAACTTATTCACGATCTTTCTTAAATTTAACAAAGGCTAAAGTATCATCAAGGAAAGGATCCACCCAGTCCACTGGATTCTGGTGGACAAAGTATACATCCAAATCCCGCAGTTAGCTTCAGAGTGTTTTCATGATAGCCCTAACACTGCTGCTATTAACTTAACAAGGTTGACACTTTAATTTTCTTTTCTTCAGTTATTCCTTATTATAACTGATCTATAAGGATCAATGCTGGAACATGACAATTCTTAATTCATCTTAAACGCTAGCTCCAAAGCACACTGACATTATACAGTGATCTTTGAAGATTGTTATTGGGTGGTAGGTTAGACAGCATGAGGCAGACATTAAAACTTTTAAGAAGTATACTATGGCAAATGTACACAAAAGGAAAAATTATCGTAAAAAAATTAGAGAATTCATTATTTCTTAACCAATTATAATAGAGAAGCTACTCTTTATTTACCAGAATTCTGTGATCACACACACAAATCAAACTAATCTGGAAGATAATTTCAAATATCAAATATATAAAACAGTTGAAAAGCCAATTATTCAAATTGTACCAAAAAGTTTTTTAACTGAGGCAAATCTACACTAATAAAAGAGAAAAATGGTAATTGGCGTACGACGCTACCCTTTTCATTGGCTAATCAGGGCTATATGCAAATTAACTGCCAACTCAGATGGCAGTTAACTGTCAGTGGCAGGGGGCTCTTACTCCGATCACTGTCAGTGGCAGGGGGCTTCTTCCTGCTTTTCCTTTTGCCTCCCTGCATTGTGCCTACATATGCCAATTAACCAC